AGGTATTCTGATCTCAGCACCAAGCTGCAATCCATGAAAACATATATCAGACAACACAAATTTTTTACATTCGGACTTGGGAGAGAAAGAATGTTTTCTTTGGTACGTTTCTTGTTTACCTCGAGGATGTTTCTAGCTGCACCGAGCTCACCCATGTTATAGCCACGAACAGAATAAGGACCACCAAGGACAAAAGCATCATAGCTTGGAAGGTCACCAACACAGCCACCGTAATGCCCGTGGAGGACTAGAACCGGTGGTGGTGGCTTACCAGCGCCTTCTTCTACTTGCTGCAGCTGAATGAATCTTGTCAGGGTTAGTTGGTGGCGGTTGAAGAACGGAAATTTGCTCCCGATACCTAAGCCTTGATCCACCTGCGATTTGCAAATACAAGAGTGTAAAGCTTATAGAGTATGCATATGACATATAATCATAATCACGTTTATATCATATGGTAAACAAACCTGAAACACATTCCTATCTCCAACAACGGCCCCATTAACGAACTTGGTATTGTCACGGGTGATGTTAGCTTGTAGAAAAGCCATTCGATCAATACCAGTACCACTGAGAGTTGTCGGAGGTCCATCAGCACTGATTCCACCGCTAGGTAGTAGTCTCTGACCATTTGCAGCAATGTGGCTGCTTTCATCTCGTGTTGTTATCTCCTCCATCACAAGCCCATATGTAAACTTACTCTGACGGGTGAAGTTCTGCATGAAAATATGGTTCATTTAAGTGTTTGTAGAACAAGACAGTCCGACTTATGGCACTGAGTATTGGCAAGCTTACCTCAGTTATGTTAGCTTTCACACCAGCTCGATCGACCCAAATTGGTGGCACTTCCTCAACACCTGGTCCTCCAGTGAATACTGGGCTGAGTTTGCGGCTGTTGAAGCAGCTTGTTTTGAATGTACGGTTACGTGGATTGTAAACACCGTCCAGGTATGGGTGTACATACTCGAGCTTAAACGAAAGATCATCCTGCACATAGAAGCAGTGATAGATGGATGGTATTAAATAAACAAATGAGAGATGTATTAAATATGCCAGCTTACTGAATGTACCTGAGGATTCAAGAAGTTGCTAGTGGTCACTGAACCCATGACAGACCTATTAAGACCTTGGATGTTCCGGTGTTCGAAAGTAACAGACCCACCTGGCTGGAATGAAGCCTGATGCATACAAACAACGACGACGCAAAATCAATTGCAATTTTTCAAAATTCTCAGTTCTGTACTTATTCAAGAAGGAAGGTTTCATACCAGTGTTGGAGCTCCTCCACGCCCAGGAACAATACTCCATTCAGTACTGACTTCAGCTGACTTCTGCTCTAGCTCTTTCAGTTTGATCTCAACGATAATTCCGCCTTCGTTTTTCTCATCTGGACGTGGATTAACTTCAATGTTCGAGAACAGCCCTAGTGAGTTGATGTTCCTGAGAGCTTGTTTCCCAGCTTCAATGTTGAAAACATAGCCTTGACGGAGCTGTCAACAAAAATAGATACTATCACCAAAACAAACATAACAAATGAGACAAACCATAACAAGCCTGGAATATGGAAATTTGCACAAGCCAAAAGGACAAGTTAACACTGAAACTGAAACTACGTAGTGTCCTTAACGTTTCTTGTAATGTGAGTTCATTGACCAAGTTCGAATTAAAAGTCTGAACTTTTTCCTGATCTATCAGTTTATAAACATTAGTTTCCCCATTATCCTATACCTATGAGACCATCAAAGCTACTGCTACAAATCATGATTACATCAATAACCAACTAAAATCTGACATAGCAGCAGAACTCGAGACACATACCTGCTTAGGCAATTCCCTGCGCACAACAGGAACTTGAGTGTTACCTTCAACCACATTACCAAGCTTATCTTGGAACTGAATAACAAGCTGCGTGATGTCTCCTTCAACAACTTCACAAACAACTTCCTTGGTGTTCAAATTCCCAAAATTCACAACCTGAGCACAAGCATACCCTTCGTCATGGTACCATTTCTGAACACGGTCCCTAATCTTCTGCAACAGCCTCGCACTGACTTTCCCTTGATCCCTAAGCATCTGCATCACTTCACCGTACACAGGCGCTGGCAACAAACACGGCCTTGCCCTATCGATCCTCCGCTTGTAATCCTTCTCAAGGCTCCTGTAATACTCGAGCTTCTCTTTATCCGTCATGTCTGCGTCCATCTCTACCGGCTTCGACTGCACCATTAGCCCCACGTTGATGCACCGGAACCTGTCGGCGGATTGCCACGTGCTCTCGGCGAAGGAGATCGTGACACCTAGGGTTCCGTCAGGCTTCGTTTTCCCTTCCAAGTCGACTTTCTCGAACATCCCGCAAGTAGCTAGGGTTTCAAGCTCCTTCTGCAATTGAGCTTTGGTGTAGACTCCTCCTGGCCGGATCGATACCATCTCGAAGAAGGAGTCCTCGGTGCCGATGGTGCTTTGTCTCCTCCGGTCAAAGAACATAATGTCGGAGACCTTATACTTCTTGAAGCCACTGAGCTTGTTCAATTGCACAACGATGTTCGCAGGTAGCCCGTGAGAATCCCAATCCGGTGACTGTTCCTCATCAGCAACCGCAAGCGCCGGAGAAAACAATTCCCTCCAAAATCCACCATCGTTTCCGTCTCCGCCGCCGCCTCCACCACCGAATCCACCGAAATTCCCGTCGCCTCCTCCGCCGCCGCCGCACAGAAAGGATGGAAGATTCGAGATTCGGAATAGAAAGAAGGACGCAGCGGACGAGACGGAAGCTACGGCCAGAGGTTTCGCCAGGCTCTTAAGGAGATTATCCTTGGAAGACGGTTCTTTATCTCTGGTAGGTAAGCTACTGCTGCATTTTATGGATGCGACGCGAGGAGACGGTGTGGAGATACGGGGAAGGCGAGACGAGGAAGGAGATAGAAATTTCCGACGGGAGGAGATAGAAGTAAGAGTGGTAGAGCTTGTCGCCGCCGGGATAAGCTGCCCGTTGACGGAGAAGGCGGCCATGGCGGAGGAAGAGAGAGCAAAGATAAGGTTTTAGAGAGAAGAAGCGGAGATTTTGGCTTTCGGCAAAAGCATGTATCTTGGGTTTTATGCAAATTGAGAGATTTTATTTAAGACTACATGACGTTTTCTGTGTTTACAATAAGAAAGCATGACGTTTTCTTTAGTTTAAAACTGCACGCGCCTTCAGTGAGATGAGGTAAAACTACTGAAAGCTAAATCATACACAAATAAGCTTAGTGTGGGTTCATTGGAGAGTAATATCAATAGATTTTAACAAAAATCTAGATAATGTTATAATTAGTTATCTCTCATCATCACTATTCATCACTACTGTTTATTATCAAAAAATCTATTTTACCCTTATGTATTCAAAGTAATTACATTTTTTATTTTTCTCACTCATCAAATAAACAACAGTGAAGAAGAAAGAAGGAGGAGGAAGAAGAAAAAAGAAGAAGAAGAAAGGAGAAGAAAGGTGGTGAAAATAGATGTGGAAGCTGATGATAGTGTTTGTGATGATACGAACGATGGTGAAAATTGTAACGTTATGATAACTGAATTAACATGATAAATATGTCATTAAGCATGTAACATGTTAATTTAATTGATATTTCATATATCATATGATGTGATAACTAAATTATAAATATGTTATTAGCACGTAATATGTAAACTTATCAATATATCATAATAATTATCATGATAACCAAATAGTTAACAATCAGGTAAACAATATTGTTGGATAATGTTAACGACACAATATAACATGTTATCATTGTTAGCACGTTAACGTTCTATATAAATAAAATGTTAATAAAATAATATTTATCATGTCAATTATTATTAGCACGTTAATAATATGTTTTTTGTGATGAACAGTGAACATCGACTTTCGATGAACAGTAACATCAATCTTGTAATGAATAGTACTACTGTCACATGTTCTATTAGAAGATGAGTTTTTTTGACTTTTTTAGTAATTATTCATAATAAAAAAAAAGATATATTTGGTTTAATTATTTTTTCTCTTTCATACTTATCTAATTTATAAATTATCATTTCTACTTAGCTAATTTATGAGTCAACCATTAATATTAACCAAATTACTCTTCATTGGAGCTAACAAAACTTTTACTATTTGCAAGTTCGAGTTTAAAGTCTGGCTACTTAATTTTCTTTATCTATCAATTTATCAACATAAGTTGACTACGACTGCGTTTTTGCAGTCAAATCGAGTCAAAAGAAAATGACTACAAAAATACATTTTCCACAAATTATATTTACTAAAGCATTTATTTAGACAATTTTCTCTTTAAAAAATTGTCAACAAAATATGTTTTTGTAGTTTGTTGAAAACAAAATTGCCAACAAAACATATTTTTTAGTTATTTTATTATTAGTTGCATCTATATGCTAATACAAAGTTACATCTAGACATGGAATCGAAATGAGAAACGAACAACATCCAATGTTGCATCCAAATCCATAAATGATTAGAGACTAAGTATTGTTGAGATTTTATAGCCTGTGATGATTCTGCTACTTTATGCATTGTTGTCTCTGTATTTCACATTGAAGTTGTATGTGCTTTGGACTGACTTAGAGCTAATTAAGTTGAATTTCAACTAAATTGAATTTCAATTAAATATCAGGTGTGTTCATTTTCTTTCTCACATAATGGCAAAATATTTTTGTTCATACAAGTTCAAAAAGTCTTGGTTGAGTTTTTTTTAAGGAGTGCTGGTTCCATTTTTCATTAGTAAATTCTATAAATCTGAGTCCTATTATTCAGCTCAAAACGTCAATATCTAAGGCAAAGACTTTGTCTTCTTTATCAATGTTTCTTCAAATAGAGGCCATGGCTATTTTAAAGCAATTTTCTTATGGTATGTCCAAGAACCTCGGAGAAACAAGACTCATGGACATGCACACCTTTTATTCTCTTTATATTTATTTTATGTTATTGTCTACGAATCAAAGTTCCAAAACAGAAAAGCTACAAGACTTTTGTTTTTGTTTTTCAAATGTCGTCTCAACTTGATCCGGTCGCTGAGCTCGAAAGCTTAAAAACACATGTTGATCATTCAGGAAGCCCTAGCTTCTCAAAACTTGGCCAGCGTCACCAATGTAAGTCTCTTCAAGAAGTGATCCGATTAATCTGATTTGGTGCTCTTGAATACATAATCTTGGTTTTTGAGATCCATTTTCTTTGTAACTTATTTTTTGCAGCTGGTGAAGCTTCAAAGTCGTCACCTACTGTTTCACCAAGAAAGGAAAATGAGCTTCAAGGAGAACATTCCCACCACAAGAAATCATTGTTCTCCAAAATGAAAGACAAGGCAAAGAAGCTGCAGCACAGTCTCAGCGCTAAGAAGAGACATGATGAAGAAGGTGATGCAACCATGTCGCCATATGGCAGATCTGAAGACCATGAAGTTAGGGAAGCAGGAGGTTACACGACACTTTCACCGCGTGACAAGTCTAAAGACCGTAAAGTCAGAGAAGAAGGAGAAGGAGAAGAAAAAGAAGAAGAAGATCCTGAATATCTTGGAGCCCCAAGTAAATCAAGCTGCATAAACAAACCAACTTTTTGTTTTGAAATTGTTTTATGCTGATGGTTCCTCTTGTGTGATATTTCTAGTGTATGAATCAAAGAAGGCACCTGAAGAGTTGAAACAGACAGCAAGGCAGCATCCCCGGGAAAACCTTGTGATCACTGAGACGAATCTCTTGTCCGTTCTCCCAGCCAAACACGACGCTAAGCAAGAACGTAAAGATTGTACTGTGATCTCTGAGAAGAACGTTTTGTCTGATGTCAAGCAAGAGAAGCCTGCTGATTCTGACAAAACAACAGTGACAGATTCAACAGGAAAGGAGTGCACAAACCAAGAACCTGTTAGTCCAAGCAAGACGGTAACAGAAACTGTGACAGAGAAGCTAGCACCTGCTTATGCTAAAGTCTCTGATGCAACACAGGCTATAACCAAGAAGATTCAAGATATAGCTTTCTCGGAATCAACAGAGCCAGAGTTAAATGATGTTTCGGAAATCAACACAGCAGGAACTAACCAGCCCTCTGGCTTCAACACTAAGGTACTATATAAACTCTTTATAAATGTTACCTCTCCATCTGTGTCTACACTTTGAATAAAATGCATCAGTCAATCATCTTCTGCTTGCATAAATGTGGCAATCAGAATCAGGTATGGGACAAAGGCGTATCAATGAAAGAATACATAATCCAGAAGTTTGAGCCTGGTGAAGACGATAGAGCGCTCTCTCGAGTGATATCTAAAGCTATCAGTCCTCGAAAAGCTTCTTCTGAGGCTGCTAGTTTTAGTGGAGCCACAAACATGGTTCCTGCTCCAAATTCAGCAGACAACAAAGCTCCCCTTTTAGCCAACACAAATGAAAGTGAGTTCCTCTTTTTAGTCTTGAACTAAAAGAATTTGATTTAACCATATTTGACAAACCTGTAATTGTATTCTGATGCATTTGCTGTTCTGCAGTTGTTGAGGAAGAAAATCATGGGAAGATACTTCAACCAAACTAAATAACAGAGATGGTTTTTCTTTAATATGTGTATCTTTTACAAAGCCTCTCTGTAACAAAGAGACTTTTCTATTTAATCCACAGTTTCCTCTATTAGTTATTTTACCAAAACCAAGATTCATATTGTATGAAGTCTGTTGTATACATAAGAGATTGAAGATTTTGTTTCCTTTCTTCTTGTAGTTGACTTTTGTAATAAGAAGAAAATATTTCATTTTTTCAGGAAAAAGTTTATTATAATATTTGAATTCATCCAGGTGATCAAACAGATGAACCTGTTCAATGTGCAATATAAATTGCATTAAATGGTTAAGGAAATCTTCATTCAAAATTATGAATGCCACTAGTATGATTAAATACCATTTTTAAGAAATTAATTACAATTAAAGAATAAGAATGGACGGTCTAGTATAACAGTTGACCTTCCCTGAAAGAAAGTGGTATGCAACTCATTGCCCACAACACTACACAAATCACCAAAAGAAGAGAAAGCTTGACAAAGTTGCAACAGACACTGTCATTCACAAAAAAGCTGTCTTGAGAACCTGCAAGAAAAGAAAAAAAAAATCTAAAAATGGGAGCAGCATTAAGATCAATGTATGTGAATAGCAAGTACGAAGAAGTCCGAGAAGAATGGGAGGAAGATTACAGCCCTCAGAGGTTTTCTTACAAAGCTCTATACAAAGCCACCAAAGGTTTCAAAGAGAGCGAGTTGGTCGGAACAGAGGCGAACGGAGCAGTATACAGAGGAAAGCTATCGTCCAACGCGCAGATCGCCGTCAAGAGAGTTTCTTTGGATGCAGAACAAGACACAAAGCACCTCGTTTCTCAGATTGTTGGTATTGGGAAGCTAAGGCACAAGAACCTTGTGCAGCTCTTAGGATACTGCAGAAGAAAAGGTGAGTTACTCTTGGTCTATGATTACATGCCTTATGGAAACCTAGACGATTTCTTGTTTAACGAAGAGAAGCCTAAGCTTAGCTGGTCACAAAGGTTTCACATCATTAAAGGAGTGGCCTCGGCTCTTCTCTATCTCCACGAGCAAAACGTTCTCCACAGAGATGTAAAAGCAGCAAACGTGCTCTTGGACGAGGATTTAAACGGGAGGCTAGACTTTGGCTTGGCTATATTCGGCACAAACAAGAACCCAATGCTTGGAAGCGTAGGTTATGTAGCTCCAGAGCTTATCATCACAGGAATGCCGACAACAAAAGCTGATGTTTATTCGTTTGGGGCATTGCTACTTGAGTTTGCCTGTGGGAGAATGTTCATAGAGTATCCAGGGAAGCCTGAAGAGTTTAATCTGATCAGCTGGGTGTGTCAATGCTCGAAAAGAGGGAACTTGGTTGGTGCCCGAGATGCTAGACTGGAAGGTGATTATGTATGCAAAGAGATTGAGATGGTACTGAAGCTTGGGCTACTCTGTGCACAGTACAATCCAGAGGACCGGCCTAGCATGACACAAGTGGTGAACTATCTTGAAGGAAATGATGTTTTGCCTGAGATGCCTCCAGACACTCCTGGGATCAGTATTCCTACACCGTACCATGAAGTTCTTGCGTAACAAGCAGCACTTTCTCTTCTCAAGAACCTACAAAAAAAAACTGCACAACAAATCAAGTCACCAAAGAGATATCATTGGAAGAAGGCAACATTTCTTCACAGTTTTTCCTCATTTCTGTAAGTTACTATGTATCCATTAACAACCCATATGGTCAGGACGTACACATGTAATGTTATAATGGCATGAAAAAGAAAAAAAAAAGTGTTACAAACTTACAATCATGTCACAACAAATTAGAGTTTTCCTACAACTCTCCTTAGCAGTTTTATCTCAGCAGTTTTATCTCACAACTTTAAACTATCTTCCTCTCTGCTTCACCAGTATATTATTTTATTTACCTTCTACATCTAATTAACCATTTCATTGTTATCTGCTTTTGATGTAGCCTATGTCCTTTAAATGTCTACTTATTGGTTCCATTTTCATTCTTATATTATCTTCTTTTGTTGTAAAATATGAAATACTGTTAATAATCTTCATTTGTTTCCTTCATATTCATGAGCACTGTAAACACATGTAAAAAATGAAACCTGCCTGATTCAACTAATCATAAAACAGTAGTGCCAAAATATTGTTTTGGACTTCTTTCTGAAGGATAACTTTTTGAGGGACCAACAAACAATGCTGTGATAAAGACAAGAGATATTTATACTCAAAGACACTTTTTACAACTCATATTACAGCAAAATGTACTTCTTGCTATTAAGTGACTTTTCTTTGTTTTCAAATTTTTTAAGACTTTTTTGCCCCTCAGTAAAACAAACACGCTAAAAATAATCCAAAATTGTCCACCGTGTTCACGATAACTGTGGATGCAAACGAGTAGATACCCGATTAAACCAAGATTTTTAAAAACATTAAATTTTTTCCTATCTGTTTTGTTTTGTATTTTTCTATATTGTGAAAGATTGAAATAATTTTTTTATTAGAATGAATCATAATTTTATTTTCTCATTATTTTAAGATCAATTATACTATAGTTTATTTATCAAAAAAGAAATTTTTCAAAAAGCATTTATAAAAAAATTCAAAAAAACACAAGTGTAGTTAGATATCCATTCACAAAATAAGATATAGATGATACAAGATGGACATAAAACATGGACATGATAGCGTGAATTAGTTTTAATTGATATATCCGACGTGGATATACATTTTACATTGTCTACTGTGTGAGCCAAAACTCGCACAACCAAAGATTTGTAAGGAAAACTAAGGGATCGGAAACTTCTAGGGTTTATCGCCAAAAGCAGTAAGATCAAAAGAAAGCTTTTCTTGCTGTAAAAGTGTTTAGCTCTTATTGCTTAGGGTTGCCAAAGTTGGGAATGAATTACATACATCATATATTTATACTGACTTTCTAAACCGCCTAGCCGAAAATCTCGGACGAGATTTTCGGAATATTTCCTTATCGCCTCGTGCGGCTGACCGCCTTTGCATCTCGCCTAGGGTTTTCCGTGGGCTTCACCTCTCAAGGCTTTGGTTCGGCCCATCATGCTTCTTTACGGCTCGGCCCATATTGCCTTCGTTACGGCTCGGCCCGCCTAATTTCTCCACGGCTCGGCCCGCTTGACATGATTCGCTCCACCTCACCGCGGCACGGCTCGGCCCAAGTGTTTAAGACATGGGCTCGGTCCATTTTATGTTATACGGCTCGGCCCATCTCCTTCTTCTCGGCTCTCCCACTTGGCGATCGCGGCTCTCCCGCCTTTCTTGGTGGAAACGGCTCTCCTTCTTGCCTTGGTGAGAACGGCTCTCCCATTTGATGGCCACGGCTCTCCCATTTTCTATACTTAGTTATATTGGGATGGTTTTATCTGTGTGGGGTGGAAACCGACCCCAACAGTTAGCCCCCCAGCTCGTCAATCTCGGAGTCGAGAATGACGAGGTACATTACTCCTGATCACGAGATAAACCATCGAGCCGAGCTGTTACGACATGAGCCCAGATTCATGTTTTAGGAGTGTAAGTGCCGAGGTGTTTCCAAGGAATGCCGAGGATGCCGAGGCGAATCAGGGACGAAGCGATTTGATGATGGTTATGCCGAGCCGAATATATGGCTAGGCGTTTCGAGTGAAAGTTCGTGCTGAGCCGTATTGTTAACGACGAAGCGTTTCTAGAGGGATAGATAACGCCGAGCCGTTTCGTTTAACGACGAGGCGTTTCAAGAGCAAGAGTTTATGCCGAGCCGTTTCGTTTAACGGCGAGGCGTTTCAAGAAGTATAGATAATGCCGAGCGGTTTTGTTTAACGACGAGGCGTTTCGAGAGAGATAGATAATGCCGAGCCGTTTCGTTTAACGACGAGGCGTTTCGAGAGAGATAGATAATGCCGAGCCGTTTCGTTTAACGACGAGGCGTTTCGAGAGAGATAGATAATGCCGAGCCGTTTCGTTTAACGACGAGGCGTTTCGAGAGAGATAGATAATGCCGAGCCGTTTCGTTTAACGATGAGGCGTTTCGAGAGAGATAGATAATGCCGAGCCGTTTCGTTTAACGACGAGGCATTTCGAGAGAGATAGATAATGCCGAGCCGTTTCGTTTAACGACGAGGCGTTTCGAGAGAGATAGAGTTAGTACCAAGCCGTTTTGTTAACCTGGGTACCCTGACTGTTGGTCTTCCGAGAGGGAATTCCTGATCTTTCGGCGCGTGCCAACTACGCAGCCCGGTATAGTCAATTCACCGCGGATCCCACGCGCTGTTGGGCGGTTGCCCGAGGTTCACGCAGAATTCACGCGCTTCGTTTTTCTATAAATAGGTGAGCTCCTTCACTTTTCCTCATTATTTCCCGACTCACTCATTTTCACTAAAGGTAGCTCTCCCTTCTCTCTTCTTTCTCTCTCTAGTTTATTTATTTTCCGGCTAGGGTTTCCGAGGTCTCCGCTGTTCCAGATCTTTTTCCGGCAGAGGCTCGCCGAGTTGTGCTGTAACTTTTGTAAAACTCGTAAATTATGTCGAGCTGTTCCGGCGATTCATTGGATCCACTTTTTCACTACGAGCCGAGCCGTGCGAACGCCGAGGCGAGAGGCATGGTGGAATCCTCCGAGGCGTCTGCTTCGCCGAGCCCCTCCAATCACTCATCTGACGAAGCGCCAAACCACGAAAGCCCATCAGATGTCGGCTCTCCAGATGACGAGCCGTCGGTTTCGACGAGCCGTCCCCAGGATCCCGTTCCTAATGAGGATGTTAACCGCGCCGCGCTCAAGATCGAGGAGGAGGCATTTCCCTTTGATCTTTTCGAGGCGAAGCTTGAATTGGAACGCCTCATGGCATCCCGAGGCGCTTCCACATCTGGGCGAGGACCGAGAGTCAAGAGACAAAAACCTGACCCGCCTGGATCGACGCTCTGCTCCCTTGAGTCGCTCGAGGCGTTGAGGCATCGCTTCGGAATATCCGAGGCGGTGGAGTTTGTCGTCCCAGAGAAGAGCGACTGAGCCGACAACCCT